CTTTAGATTTTGGTCTGCAGAATACCTACAATTGGTCTTTCATCATCGCAGACGTTCCATCCCCAATCCTTGGTATAGATTTTCTACAGCAACACAAACTGCTGGTTGATCCGGTAAGCCCTAAGCTTATAGACTCGCTCAATAAAAGGTATATCGCTGGTACGATTAGCCGTGCATCATCGCCGAACTTGATGGTCACACGCACACCAGCATCTCCATATACTGACTTAGTAAATCAGTTTCCTGACCTTCTACAACCCTCTTTCCGAGCAACAGAACTAAAGCATCAAGTGGTTCATCACATTAAAACCACTGGACCACCAGTTTTTGCACGTCCTCGACGCCTTGACCCATATCGACTTAAAATCGCAAAAACAGAGTTCGATAAAATGTTAGAGCTCGGCATTATTCGACCATCCAACAGCTCTTGGTCTTCACCGCTGCACATGGTACCCAAAAAGTCTTCTGGTGAGATACGGCCATGCGGGGATTATCGAGCTTTAAACAAGCAAAGGGTACCTGACCGATACCCCATACCGCATATTCACGATTTCGCCAGCAACTTGCCAGAGGTTAAAATTTTCTCCAAAATCGACCTTGTCAGAGCGTACCATCATATTCCCATCCACCCGGATGACGTTCCAAAAACTGCTATCACCACGCCATTCGGCTTATACGAATTCGTGCGCATGCCTTTCGGGCTGATGAACGCCGCTCAGACATTTCAACGTCTCATCGACCAAGTACTCCGCGGCCTGCCCTTCGTCTACGCATACATTGACGACTTACTGATTGCAAGTGCAGACGAAGTCGAGCATGTGAAACATGTGAGGACGGTGTTTGAAAGACTTCACAAATACGGCATGACTATCAATTTAGATAAATGCGAATTTGGTAAGAAATCACTGAAATTCCTCGGTCACTTGATTGACAATCAAGGAATTAGACCAGTCCCCGACGATGTACAAGCCATCAAAGACTATCCATTACCAGATTCTTTCAAGAAATTACGGCGATTTTTGGGTCTAGTCAATTTTTACCGGCGTTTTATCCCGAACTGTGCTAGAGTTTTGCAACCGTTGACCGACTGCTTACGCGGACATAGTCGTTCATTCCATTTGCCTGCAGAAGCTGTTAAAGCATTCGAAGCTGTTAAACAATCGTTAAATGACAAGACGCTCTTAGTCAGACGCCAGAATGACGCCCCCTGTCTCTCATGACAGATGCTTCAGATGTCGCCATTGGGGCAGTGTTACAACAGCAGGTACATGGCGAATGGCAACCCCTTGCATTCTTTTCGAAACGACTGAATCCTACTCAATGTCGATATAGCACCTTTGGTAGAGAGTTATTAGCTGTTTATTTAGCAATCAAGCACTTTCGACATATGCTGGAAGGTACACCTTTTACTGTCTTTACAGACCACAAGGCTCTAACGAAAGCCTTATCAGCAAAACAGGATAACTACTCTCCACGTGAACTACGACATCTCGAGTTTATATCCCAGTTCACCTCCGATCTGCGACACATAAAGGGTAAAAACAATGAAGTGGCAGACGCTTTATCACGTATGCACATTGATAACATTTTATGCCCAGACATCGACTACGAACATCTCTCAAACTTACAACGAGACGACGCCGAACTCAAAAAGATCATGTCTTCTAAAACAACATCTCTAAACCTCGAGGCAATTCCTTTCGGCACGACAAAAGTTATCTGCGACACCTCTACGGGTAAATATCGACCTTTCGTTCCAATAGCTATGAGACATACAGTATTCGAGAAGTTAAATAACTTGTCGCATCCTGGTGTTAGCGCTACTACCAAGCTACTAAGAGAAAGATTTATCTAGCCAAACATTAACAACGACGTTAAGAAGTGGACACGAAATTGCTTGTCTTGTCAAAGAGTCAAAATCAACCGGCACACCAAAGCAACACTTGGTCGCTTCCCTAACCCCGACTCTAGATTTGACCATGTACATGTAGACATAGTTGGTCCACTGCCTCCTTCCAATGGTTTCAACTATATTCTAACCTGCATTGACAGATTTACTCGTTGGCCAATAGCAGTTCCATTAATCGACGTCTCAGCTGAAACGGTAGCTAAAGCTTTAGTCGAAAACTGGATAGCCAATTTTGGTGTCCCATCAATTATCACTACAGACAGAGGTGCCCAGTTTGAAAGCCGACTTTTTGACCAACTAACTGAATTACTAGGCATTAAACGAATACGAACGACAGCGTATCATCCTAGTTCCAACGGTATGGTCGAACGATTTCATCGACAACTCAAAGCTGCGCTCGCTGCTTCTTTGACTCAAAACGATTGGTCAACCAAACTTCCACTAGTATTACTTGGTATACGAGCTACTATAAAGAAAGATATTGGCTGCTGTGTTTCCGAACTAGTCTATGGAACAACATTACGATTACCAGGAGAATTTTTCACCACGGGTAACGAAGTTCCACACGATATGACTGGTTACGTGCACTAGCTAAAACGACACATGAACGAGCTAAAGATATCACTTTCACGTCAGCAGGAACGAGCGCCATACATCCCGTCACAACTGACAGACTGCACCACGTCTTCGTCAGGAGAGAAGGTGTACAACGACCACTTCAACCCGCTTATGATGGCCCATTCAAAGTTCTAAACAGAAACGCGAAAGTTATCACGATAGAAAGATTGAATAAAACAGAAGCCATCAGTATCGACAGAGTCAAACCAGCGTTCCTTGACGATTTCGAAGTCAACGATAAGAACCAGCTGAACGACGTGCCAATGCCTACATTCACAAAAGCTTCAACGTCGACAGAGAAACCTGCGAAAACAACACGATCTGGTAGACGAGTCCATTGGCCTAAACGTTACGTGCAAGTCATCGGAATATAACTTACTAAGAATTTTCATTTTTATTATCTTTATTCGTAATTGTCATTTGATTACTCATTTAACTGATTAATATTTTCATACATAAATCACGTCACTATTATTTTAACATCGATATTTCCTATATTATTACATTTAATCACATCTCGTATATTATTCACGTATCGTTTTCGTCTACCGACTACAGATCCCCGGACAATTTTATCGTTCCTTATATATTCTATTACGATTAGGAATTCCACTTTGCCTAGATTATCGCATTTATTATCGACGTTATTAACCGCATTAAACTGCTCATTTTTCAGCTTAATAAATCGCCTTCTGTGTACTATCGCTGATACGTATTACGCTGACGCATGTTATTTTCGAACACTTAAATGTATTTTTTTAATATTTTAGCGTTCTGGTGGGGGAATTATGTAGTACCCCTGTACCAACTGTAAACATGCTTTTTAATCTAATTTGTATACTTGAATTATATGTGTATACAGACCGATTTTATATGTACTTCGCAAACATTTGTCATTTTACTGTTGAATATTACCTTGACACAATTTCGAATTTGACTACTGTTACAATACACATTTGTAATCTTCGCAAGTGCCTTTTGATTTACGTTGTGGGCGTCGAGTAGCCACAACGTCTGCGCACATGAATAAGAACGAAGAAATACTAGAATATATGTGTACGGCAGTTTAGTCAGACAACGCACGCAACAAGTTGAACAAAGGTTCTGCACAACTTGAAGGTGAAGTGGAGTTAAAGGCAGATGCGGTGGCAGAAGGTATGGATACTCGTGAGACCGTCAGTGTTAATGATCAGTGTGTAGCCCACCTATCAAAAGATGCTAGTGCTAAACCGCAGCTAATCATAAAAGACAGCAGTGGTGGTAATCTTGCGGTTAGACAACCTTCTGAAGTTCGAACAACAATAGCTTCTGATGCACTGCTAAGTTCATCAACTTTTATCAGTCAGTCGTCGTTGGTGTTGTCATCCACGGTGAAAGGGACGTCCAATAACTCTGGTGTCTTGTGCCGTGACTTTGCCAGTATCGGCCCGTTTGAAATGACGAATGCCAATAGTCATTTTAGTGAGGATAAGCCAACTGTGTATGAGAGGTGTCAGCCAACTCTCAGGAACTGTCAATGTCCAGCTCCTACTACGCTGGACCTCACGCTGTTCCTAAAAGACTTTCAGAAACACTTTGTATTAACCAACGCGAAAACCAGAACTCAGATTGGCGACTCGAGAATCCTTTATTCTTACGCCGATATGTAACCAACAATAAAGTTATTATACACAGGGTCTAATAATAAATGTTATAACAATAAATCACGGTAATACTTCTGATAGTTTTCTGTCTTCCACCGAACAGCCAACGATGAGACGATGACTGCTGGATTGATGACTCCCGCGAAAAATATAGAGTTGGATTTGAGCAGACAACCATGAATTGATCGTTCAATCTCCAACAACATTGAAAAGAGGGTAGTTGTTTAACTGACTTGCACGAATAAAGGCCCATCAAGTTTCAAGTTACAATTTCAATGTTATTATCGTTAGTGTAAATTACTCTGTTTCTACTCTTGGTTGAGTAGGTACGTCATGTGTTAATTAGTCATTTTTATTTTAGTATACAATATCATGGGCGAGTCAGCGTTCAGAGTTGAGGATACAGTTGATAGAAGGTCACCAGGGTTACGGCGAGGAGCCAGGTGCTGAGAATGACATGCACAAGGAGATAATGATTAGCTGTGGAATCAATGATAGAGAATGAATGATTCTATTTAGGCTGTAGTCCACACGCCGGGGAGCGAAAGTACAGACGACTGAGGCTTGCATAACTCACCAATAGCAGAACTGTTGAGTACGTAACAATGTGATTGTACACTTTTTGGTTACTTGTATAAATTCGAGATATTGTACATAATTTTTGTTTAAAACGCTTCTTGTTGAAATATACATAACTTCCGTGTAGAATTGAAAAATACACTCTGCTGTTGGAGACTTCGTCTTCTCCCTGGTCACTTCTGCTTACTTGCTCCACTCACACCGTGTTGTATACTTCGGATTTATTGTAGGAGCCTACTACTCTCACCGAAGACATATCTACAACCGGAACACAGCAGCTACAGCAGACGCAGTCCAAACAATTAACGTGCCCGTGGATTATATAATTAATTTGTAGCCGAGGACTTGGACGTTATATACAAGTAATCCTTTTTGTTGCTATAACTCGTCACAGTATTTTTGGTAATATATTGTGATTTAACACTCCACTGACTTGGATTATTACTTATATACTTGGAATGTTAGTGAACTCTAATATTAGTCCCCTACAAATTAATTGGTGAGCCCGATAAGAACACGGATTACTTTGACATATTCATATTCTTATTTTGCTATTTTTATATTCATTGTGATTTTGTGTGTGGTTTATATTTGTATCCTAATTTGCACCAATAACCTCATATATATAATGTCGTCACCTCAGTCCGGTACATCAAACGAGCAGACAACTAATAGCGAGACAAATGCCACAACAAATGCCATCACTGATTTTCGTTTACCCCAATACGGTTTCGCAGAACCAAGGATTTGGTTTGCGGTAATTGAACCGTTGCTAGAAGCACGGGGCATTAAGTCCCAATAGCCAAATATGGTATGGTGCTGGCAGAACTCCCTCCATCAGTATTGACAGAAATCAGCGATTTCATCGAAGATCCTCCGACGGAACATCAATTTGATAAACTTAAAGCCCTCCTCATACAACGTACCAGTCTGTCGGATGAGAAAAGAATCCAACAATTGCTCACAGGCTGTGATCTAGGCCCACGTAAACCATCCCAGCTGCTCAGGCACATGCGCCAGTTAATCGGAAATCATAAAGTAGACGAGGTAGTGCTGAAACAGATGTGGTTGCAACGTTTACCTAGAAATGTCCAGCAAATTTTAATCATCTCAGGAAAGTCGTATGACTTAGACCAACTAAGTGACATGGCAGATAGTATTTTGGATGTTTTATCCGATAACACCATAAGTCACGTAGCATTTGATAGTGCCACACCGTGTCATTCCACACCCACGGCAGACACACCGATACTCGCCGCCATTGCAGACTTAGCGGCAAGGATTGACAAGTTGGAAACTAATAGGTCTGATCGACAAGTCCGAAGACGGAGTTCACAAAGAAGGTCACCATCACGACGACGATCCTTCTCACGACAGCGTTCTTACACGTCTTCTCGGGATAGCAATATATGCTGGTATCACTGGAAGTTTGGACGTCATGCCCTGAAATGTGTAAAACCGTGCAGCTTTAGCGAAGCCAACCAGGCTCAGGGAAACGCCTCAGCCAGACAGTGATGGCGACAGCTGTTACTGGCAAGCAAACAAGTCGCCTCTTCTATGTGAAGGATAAAACTTCAGACACTTTATTCCTGGTAGACACGGGAGCAGAAGTTAGCGTAATCCCTCCTTCACTATCCAGGCGATCTATACGGACACCCGGAAAACTGTCTCTCCGGGCAGCTAACCACACAAGTATACAGACGTATGGAGAGCAATCCCTCATACTGGATCTAGGTTTACGTCGGCGTTTCACATGGATTTTCATAGTAGCCGACGTCAGTCACGCCATCCTCGGAGCAGATTTCTTGAGTAATTTCAACCTGTTAGTTGACGTCAACAATAAAAAACTGATTGATAACAACACCCATCTAAAGATCCATGGAATTATCTCCAGCTATTCTGTCTATAATATCAGTATTGAAAGACCAGCAGATTGCCCTTTTTCCTCCCTACTTCACCGTTTCCCTAAAATTCTTAAGCCGTCGTACAACATTGAGGACGTCCCTCACACAGTTACTCACAAGATAGTTACTACGGGTCATCCAGTTCGTGCTCGTCCCCGTAGATTATCCCCGGACAAATTGGCAGCAGCCAAGGCAGAATTTGAACACATGATGCAGCTCGGCATCATCAGACCCTCCAATAGTCCTTGGTCTTCGCCCTTACACATGGTGCCTAAAGCTGATCATGATTGGAGGCCATGTGGGGATTACCGACATTTAAACAATGCCACAGTTCCCGACCGTTATCCTATTCCTCATCTTCATGATTTCTCCCTGACATTACACGGAAAAACCATTTTTTTCTAAAGTAGACTTGGTCAGGGCCTATCACCAAATACCAGTTGCCCAAGAGGATATCGAAGAAACGGCCATCATCACACCTTTCGGTTTGTTTGAATTTCTCCGCATGCCATTTGGCCTAAAGTCAACCATCACTTATCAACATCCAAACCGATAACCAGCGGCGTGATACAAGGTAGTGTTCTTGGCCCTACCCTATTTATTGTATTCATAAATGATATTGTCTCTATGATCAAGTATGGCAAGCCATACCTCTTTGCAGATGACCTCAAAGTTGTCTATGATTTTGACTATAATGATATTAATATTGTTAGTAAAATCCAAGAAGACCTAAATAGTCTATGTAATTGGAGTGAAAAGTGGCAGTTAACGTTCAATCCAGCTAAGTCTGGGATAACATACTTCGGACGTTGGAAACCTAGCATGTGTCTATACATGTACGGTGACCTTGTCTCAAACACAAACACACTCACAGATCTCGGGATAACATACTCAGATCTTACCTTTACTGAACATGCAAATAAGGTGGTATCTGATTGTAAACGTCTAACCGGCTTTGTGCTACGCAACTTTTACACTCCAGAAGCCAGATTAGCCATATATAAGATATGCATTTGCCCCAAACTTGAATACTGTGCCCACTTATACAGTAGCTTCAAGTCGGCAGACAGAAAAAAGGTTGAAAGTGTCCAAAGATTCCTTACGAAACGCATATTAGGCTATGGTCAGCAAATAGAATACCTTGACAGATGTATTCGACTGGATTTAGAACCCTTATGGTTAAGGAGAGTGAAGTGCAATTTATTTCTCTTATTCAAAGTTATAAGAAAGCACTGTAACAGTAACTCGTCCATAACCTGGGCTAATCCTAAATCGTATGGACTACGCAACCACAACTACCTTCTCAAGGTTAACACCCATAAACTCAACACTAGAGCTAACTTCTTCACCATTAAATATTGCAAACTTTGGAACCAACTACCCTCTGAGATAAGATCCTGTGAAAGGCCTGACAGTTTCAAAAGGAGCCTAGAAAAACATATAAACATGTCCACCCTAGCCCGCCTCAAAGATCTCAACTGCTGGTAGAGTGGAGAGACAATGGCTTTTCAATATTTAACTACGGAAAGTACACTAGTCCCAATACCAATATAATAACACTTAGTAATTATGTAGGTTCAATACTTGAAATTCGATTGTCATTAAAATACTTAAAATGATTAAAATAGCTATGCGGCAAGTGTTCTCTTGCTTTACCATGCTTGTTTCCCTTATAACACTCAGTTATTGAGCCTAATGTATTCTTTGATAATACGAATTATGACACTGACTATGCTCTTAGTATACATAGATTGATTTACTTTACGATTACCTGTAGTACTAACTACCCTTCTGTAGTATTGTTAAACAAATGCTGAAATTTTGTTGGTTCTGTTAATATCTTTTTATAATATGTTTAGACACGTTACTTTGCAATGTCAGATGTCTACTATATACAAGACTGTCATGATAATTTAGTACACTAAGTCCTGCCAACCGACCTTACCTTCAGTTCATACTACCTATATTGATCCCTAACTATATTGTTCTGCTGAATCTTGCTTCACTATTCACAAAACCTATTCTTTTTATTCTTTAAGGTTCTAACTTCTTGCAAAGTAATCTGTTCATTAGGACGCATGCATACATATATAATGTTCATAAAGATGTACGCGGAGACCTATTGGAAGCACTCATTAAGAAAGCTAGGGAGATGGGATATGAGGTACGAACATGTCTGGTACCAAGCAATTTATTTGCAGTAGCCATAATAATCATAGTCTCAGAGCTTAACATCAAAAAAGGAGGGAGGGTGGCGTTAGCTGATCAGTAGATATGGTGGGGGTCACTAAGGTGAATCGCCCCATTCTGCAGGAACAGCAATACACAAATTAAAGGCTCGAGATATTTCTGATTTTTATGAGGGCTTAGATCTTTATCTTGAAAAAGATAATAGTGAACGCCTTGACAGATCATGCTTCTACCTCTAAATATATACTATTCGCCCAGCCTATTGTTGAGATGCGACCATGTGGGATGTGCACAGTTTTATGGGGCATCTTATAAACTAACTTGCTGTCCATTGACTGATCTTTAAATACCACTTCACAATGTCTTATCTCATTCATTTTCCAATAACGTCTTTACTTGATCCTCATTATATTCCATTAAACCTAACATTTTACAGCTCTTTATGACTTATTATATTCCTACTCTCTGAAGGGTACGGTTGTACATTAAATGCACAAAAAGGTATAAAACAAAAACAACTGGCACAACTGAGGATAAATGTATTAAAACCAAAATTGGACATCATGATAGTACGAGGTATATGTGTTGCATTATACATTGCAAATGAACGTTGTCAGCCTAGGGAGTTTTCTTTTTTTAATGCATTTATTAATGATACTTGCACTTACCTATTTCATTACAATTTAATGATTCACCTCAGCACTTTTACTTTTCTAAAACAGCTTCCAATCCCTTGTAAACGTTGTACTTACCTCAATATTGGTTGGTTATCGTATGCCGACAACCACGGGATGAAAACGAAACGAAGTCGATTTTCCCGCTCAACCTGGAGGACAATTGTACAATTCAATAACTATACAGCCTAGTTCAGACAATGTGTATTTATATATATATCAAATATTTAACTGTTGAAACATTATTAACATGTAGACAATCTACGATCTGATATTATATCATACTTGATCGTGCCTGTAAAAATGGCATGCATTTTCATGTAAATTTATATGTTTATATGAGAATATACATTATTATTATTTAAAGAACGCAGCACAATCCTTCCAACGTTTCATGAATCAGGTCACACAAGGTTTGGACTTTGTATTTGTATATATCGATGACGTTTTAATTGCTAGCTCGTCGCCCGAAGAACATACTGATCACCTCACCATCTTATTTCAACGATTTGAGCAATATGGAGTCGTCATTAACCCCAAAAAGTGCATATTCGGTGTCTCCTCTATACAGTTTCTGGGACACCACATAACCGC